GCGTTAAATATCTATAATTACAATTTATAATCAAAGTAAAAGAAAACAAAATAAAAACTGCTGTGTCAGCTCATAAATATCCTTGTGCTATTTCTTAGGTACCTGCACAACCTCCAGATCTGTTCATACATGTTCTAAAAAAGCCCTTTTTGTTCTTTAAAAACATTTTCTATGCCTGCCCCCATCTACATAATTCAGATCAATTCTGAGGCTGGCTGCTTTGGCCTCACCTATTCCGGCTAACCTTTGCTGTGTTATACATACATCATTGTGGCAGACAGATGGAGATAGTCCACCAAAACTTCCCCACTAGAGAATGGAATTCATGTCTTTTGCCTGAAATAATGAAGAGCCTAAAGACAAATCTGTATCACAGAAACCAGTAAGCAGGTCCTTTTCTCTGCTATGTAGCAAATAAAAATGAACCACCCCCCAAAAAAACCCCCCAAACAACAAACCCAACCCAAAACAAAAGAAAAAAACAACAACACAATAAAAACAAGACAGTGCCAAGCCAAACCTTTTGTTTTTTATAGTCCGGTTTAGATTTGACTTGCTTCAGGATATTGAAGTACTTGATGTACATGACAAAGGACCGCTCTTCATCATTTTGCCCATCAAAAGATTCTGCATCCTTGAAGACTTTGGCAGCCGATCGAATGATACTAGAATGCAGAGAAATGGAATCAAATGGATTTTGGACAACTGCTAATTGTACATTTTATATGTTATAGATTATAAGACAAAACCAAACATATTGAAAAAAACATTTTAAAAAATGAGCCTAATCTCTATGGCATGAGACCATAGCTAAAAATCAGTTGTCTTGGGTGTCTTGAGAGAGAAACAATGACAATATATATATATATAATATATACAGTGGAGTCCGTTTAAACTCAAATCTGTAGGACCACCGGATTTTTTTCTCGAAGTTTTCGGTTTGGTAAATAGAAGAAAAAACAAATCTCGGATTTTATTTTATTTTGGTTTACCCCAGTTTTCGGAATTACTGCGTTCTATATTGAAGCAGACTCCCCAATACGCAAAATGTATACAAATGATGATTTACTTACACCCCCCCTTCCTAACAACAAATGGAAATTGTATTAAAAGCACTAATCAACATTAAAAACAAATAAAGCACTAACATATAATTTTAAAATTCGACACAAGTAATAAATTTAAATAGCTTTTAATCGCTTTAATACAGGCAGACAATTCATACTATATAATTTGTTCTGATTTACAAAGCTTACTCTTCAAATATTGAACTCTTTCAGGTTAGAAAAAAATTCCAACAACAATAAAAGTAAAAGCAAACTCACATGTTCACATTGTTCCCAAGAGGTTTGACTTCAGACAGTTTGTGCAGATCGTCCATACATTTTCCCAAGTACAAATCCTTCTTTTTCAATGCTTTACCAGGCATGATGGCATTTCACACCTGTTAGAAAAGAAGAGCAAATATTAAATACTTGACTAGTCACAATTTATTCGTTACTCTTTTCTCCCAGGGGGGTGAACCCACTATGCCGGGGCCCTTTTTTGATACTAAATCTAAAAATGACAAAAATGTCACTAAATTGGTCATTAAATAAAAACAAGTGAACTTATTTTTATAGTTTTTAATAATGAAGATCATTTCTATAGCGTCCACTCCCGTGTAAACACAGCTCTAGGCACTTTACATAAATGCATGTACGAACAATATTCACGCACGCGACACACACACGTACACACACTCATCATCATCATTGCCTTTCTCACCCTGCACCAGGGTATAGGCCACGGACAAACACCCTCCACTTTTCTCTATCCTGGGCTAGCCTCTTGATGTTATTCCATGTCTTCCCACTTTTCTGTACATCGATTTCTGTGATTCTTCTCCAGGTTCCACAAGGTCTTCCCCTTGATCTCTTGCCCTGTGGGTTCCAATCCAAAACTTTCTTTGTTATGCAGCTGCCTGACTTCCTGAGAGTATGTCCAATCCATCGCCACCGCCTTCTTCCTACCGTATCTCTGACTGGGATCTGTCTTGTTTTCCTTAACACTTCCACATTGGTGACCCTGTCTGTCCATCTGATCCTCAGTAACCTTCTTAGACACCTGTTCAAGAAAACCTGGATCTTCTTTTTATACAAGTCTGTGATGCGTTCCATGCCTCACATCCAAACAACAGGACCAATTTCACGTTTGAATTGAAAATCCTCAGCTTTGTTTGAAGTGAGATATCTCTGGTCTTCCAAATCCTATCCAAAGATAGGAAAGCAGCTTGTGCTTTTCCTATGCGGGACTTTCAGCACCTGTTCATCCCTCTCTGTCAATTATGCTCCCAAGATAGCAGAAGGATTCAACGGTTTCTAGGGCCTTTCCTTCTATTGTGACCTGCTCCTTTCGTTGTGCATCTGTCCTTAGGACCTTTGACTTTCCGGGGTGGATCCTCAATCCAACAAACTCCGATAGGCTGTTTAATACTGTAGTCTTTGCTTGCATCTGTTCCTGGGTGTGCGACAAAAGTGTCAAGTCATCTGCAAAATCCAGATCGTCCAACTGTGTCCATGGTGTCCACTGTATACCATTTCTGTGTCCTCTGGTGGTTTCCTTCATCAGCCAGTCGATTGCCAATATGAAGAGGAATGGTGATAGTAAGCATCCCTGTCTCACACCAGTCTTGATGTCAAAGCTGTCAGTGAGCTGTCCATCATGTACAACCCTGCAACTTGTCCCTTCGTACCTGCTCTTGGTGAGGTTTACCAACTTCTGTGGGATTCCGTGGTGTCTCATTATCTTCCATAGTGTCGCTCGGTCTATACTGTCAAAGGCCTTCTCATAGTCAAGGAAGTTGACAATCAGCTGGGAGTTCCACTCCCGGGACTGTTCCACAATAATCCTCAGCGTGGCAATCTGGTCGGTGGTTGAGCGATTTTTCCGGAAACCGGCCAGTTCATCCCGTAGTCTTGGATCCGTTCCTGTCTTGATTCTCTACACACACACTCAAGCACCCATAACATGCCACATGTGCACACACATGTATGCCAAACACACACATACACACACACACACACACATCTACTTGCTTATCACTTGCGCACGCTTACACATCGTCACGAAATGAGGACATATATAATAAAATGATATACACAATGCAATTCACAAAATACATAAATGGATACATAGTCATTTACATAACATTGTACTGAACTTGAATCTGCTAACATAAAAATTATGTCATTAAATGTGTCTTTAAAGATTTTTAAAATTTAGACTCAGATGTTGTATGTCTCAAGGGTTGGGGAAGACAGTTCCAAACTGATGGAGCAAGGTGGGCACACGATCTTTCAGGTAATTTTTTCGTAACGTTCTTAACATGCAAGTAATGTGGTCCCTCTTCTTTTTCTTTAGTACAAGCCTAGCAGAATGATTTTGAAAACGTTGTAACTTGTGAAGAGTGGTATTTGGTAAGTTAGCTAGTAAAGCATTGCAATAATCGATGCATGAAAACAAGAAAGATGACACGAGCGTTTTCAACGAGTTTTCATTCAAAAACATAGACACATGACCAATTCTACGCAATTCACAAAATAAAATGGTACATAAATAATTGATATGATGTTCCATTGACAATTTTGAATCAAAATACACTCCCAGATATTTTGCTTTATTAGTAAAATACAGTTTTTCATTTTCAGTATGATCAATGTCTACAGGGAGTATGGCTTTTCTTTGGGTTACAAAAACGAATTTCAGTTTTATTTTCATTAAGCTGGAGCTTATTATCAACCATCCACTTTTTAACCTCATCAATGCACAGACCCAGCCATGGTAGTAAGCAAAGTTTTAATATCTGATGGTGGAACAGATTTATATAACTGTGTATCGTCTACGTACATGTGAAAATTCATATTGTGCTTTCTGATCACAGCTCCAAGCGGCTGTGTATATAACGTATACAAGATTGGACCCAATACTGAACCTTGAGGCACTCCAAAGTCTAGCTTAAAAATTGAAGAAAGAGAGTCGTGCACAGCAACAGATTGTGTTCGGCTAATCAGGTGGGACCTGAACCAGTCAAGAACCCTGCCAGACAGGCCAAATGTGTTGAAAAATCGTTCGATAAGAATAGTGTGATTTATAGTGTCAAAGGCAGCACTAAGATCAAGAAGAGAAAGAATTGATATTTTGTTCTCATCCGCCTCACACAAGAGGTCGTTATATATTTTCAATAGCGTAGTTTCTGTGTTATGAAACTGCCGATAGGCAGATTGAATGAATTCATATAAATTGTTTTCTTTTAATCCTTAGAGTGCTGACTTCTTTCCCCTTATATTTTCCTTCTGTACTGAATTCATTTTGGAAAAATGCCAGATTTGCACATACGCTTTTTTTGGTGCTAAAATAACTTCTGTATGTGTCAAAATTTCTAATGAAGGTAAGAATAAAAGTTTTAGAATATTGAAAGTTCTTTATGAAAATGTGAAGCAAAAAGTATTTTGCGAAGTTATTACTGTAGTAGTGGTATTGGAAATGACTGAATAAAATCTGCCGGTTCATTAGATCTCTAGATCTAAACCAGAGTCTAGATATGCTTCGTAGGCCTACGTTATATTCCACAAAGTGTTAGCCCTAGCATCAAAACCCTCGAAATCATCTTCTGATTCAAGGAAAATACGCGAATTATCTTCATCTGAATCTGATGCGACATTATTTTCATGTTTGTCGCCGGTTGCAATCGCGAATTTTCCAACTTCACTGTCACTCGACTGTCAACGTGAAACAAAAAACTCCTCGCACCTCGATCGAACCCCGTGGCAAGAAAAATGGCCGGCAAAATCAATTCTGCTTAGCCTACCAGCCAGCAGTATCAAAATTAGTACTTCGTTCTTTTCGTACATCGGTTATACTATGCCAATGTCTATCGCGAGCAGCGGTCGCGATCAGCACTTTACGGAAGTTCGGGCCGTTGCGACCGGTAGCGATCAGCACTCTAAGGGTTAAATGATTCTTCAATTGTGAAACAAAACAACTTTCTCCATGACATGATGAATGAAATTATTGAAGTCCCGATAAAAGAGACTTGACGTCGAAGTCATCGTAAAGGAATGTGCCCGAGCTGCTGTCAGCGGCTCACTGGCACAGCTGCTTGCTGGAGATAAAGAGTTTTAAAGTGGGGAATGCATTGGCATATATATGTAGCATTAAGGTAGTCTCTAGCATGCACACATAGCGTAATCAGCAGGACGCAGACACTTTTTTGTTACCATCCATACGTACGAATTTCAGGCTTATCAATGGAGATAAACAAAGTTGGACGATTGGGTCAAAATTGTAGGTGAATTAGGCCCCATCATGTGAAACCCCATCATGCTTATTGGGCTTATATATATAGATCTATGTCACTTGAATTTGATTTTTGACCATAATTTCTTGTCCACCTCTACTGGGATCAGCAGTTTCTCTTAAACGCTGAGAAACCTTTCCACTTCAACAATCATTTGCTCCGCCATAGGCCCCTAGTCCACTCTCTGCATAACTTCACCAAGATATTATTTTACAGGACACTAGCAAATTGTTCCGCCTTAGTGTTATAATCTTGGTTGTTGTTATTCTCACCCGGAGTGAGAATAGTATCCATTTTATTCTCAACCCGGGTGAGAATAATATCCGGTTTATCATCAACCTGGGAGATCTGAATAATCACTCCGAAATTGTAACTTAAATCAATTTTACTTGTTGACACTCAAACAACAGGACCTAGGAATCCTGGTCATACAAATTACACAATAACAAACACTACTTTTCAAACTGGGAGTGTATACAGACCCGGTAACCGGGAACAAAGTCACAAAGTATACAGACCCGGTAGGGGAACTCTTTTGTGATTTCGGAAAGTTTCAGCGCCCTCTTGGCTCAGGGCAAACCTAGGTTCTTCTAGATATTTATGGCCTAGGTCTAGATCTAGGTCTAGGCAGACGGACATAAATCTTTGATCTAGTTTCGAGGCTAGCCTAAATCGATCTTGATCTAGATATCTAGATATCCAAATGAAGATTGCGGATGTCTTTTCGATGAACGATCGTTTTTCCTCCGTTTTGGAGTTGGAGGAATCACAATTTGAAGAAAAGAACAATGTCATAATTTTAATCGAGCAGCCACCCTCTCTATTTCTCTGTCCCTCTCTCCTCTGTGTATCGCTCGCCTTCTCTCTTTCTTTCTTTGTCTCTGTCTTTCCCTATTTCCCACTTTATCTTTCTCTCGTTCCCTCCTGCCAACTGGGGCATGTCATACATTTTGCTCATTGCTAGCACCCCCCCCCCCCCCCTCTCTCTCTCTCTCTCTCACACACACACACTAGATTTCTACCGGGGCTGGGCGCTGAAACTTTCCGAAATCACAAAAGAGTTCCCCTACCGGGTCTGTATAGTTCGTGACTTTGTTCCCGGTTACCGGGTCTGTATACACTTCGTTTCAAACCACAGAATTCTACACTTATAGAAGCGGAACTCCTTCTTCGCGATCGCCGATTCGCTGTGAGGAATTGAAACTAAAACATGGCGGCCAGTTGAGGGCACCTTTGGCTGCGCCGCACAGCGAGGCTTCGCGTTGCTATGCACGCTGATGCTAGTGGTAGGGCTTGGAAGACACCTTACATTAAGTTACATCAGTATTTTAAAACTTTCTTCGAAGAGGAAATATAGTGAAATAGTCTAGTACATTTTTACTGCCAACAATATGTCATAATTGGCAATGTTACAATCTTTTTGTATCTGTATTGTTGGTTTGTTGTTGTTTTTTTAATGATGGGATGGGATGGGATCTAGATCTAGATAAAGACTAAAGATAGATCTAGATCTCTAGTTCTACTACTAGATCTAGATCTACTAAAGATCTTCACAATCACAATACACTTGATAATAACACTAATTATGAACATTAACTCTGTTGGAAAAGTATCTAGATATAGTCTTGATTAGTACTAGATCTACGATTGGAGAATGTGTCGGTTGCACATAAAATACATAGGCCTATTGTACATGCTGCCAAAAACACAAAAATGCAGAAAAGGCCTCTAAATATTGTTTTACACATAAAAGCCAATAATGCAAAACAAAGTAAACAAGAGTGGAACTGGCATATGTTTCCTGAATATATGTTCAAAGTCATTTTCTGTGTGTTGGGAGTGTGATTTCTAATGCATGAATGAGAGGCTCATTCAGATGTGATAATGAAGAAACTTGTGTCTACGGTCACAACAGAAAGAGTTCCATGGCGAGTGATCACTGGTCAAGGATTTCAGAGCTGTGTGCATTTTGAGAAAAATGTATCCCCATACTCTGGATCACATGTCGAGGGGATGGGCTTGTCCCCCTGTAATCCCCGCACACAGTAAACAAACACATATTTTGGAACACGAACAAGAAAAAATAAGTGGTCTGTTGTTACGGATCAAATTGAAGTCCTGTTTCAATTCGATTAATTGATAAAAGTGCGTATCGCAATGCGTTGGACACCCCTGCCCTATAGGCCTATATGCTATTTAATAAATACATTCGTCAGACCTGGAATCTTTAATGCCCGCACACAGTAAACAAACACACATTTTTAAACACGTATAAGAAAAAATAAGTGTTGTCTTGTTACGGATCAAATCGAAGTCCTGTTACAAATCAATTAATTGATAAAAGCAAGTATCGCAAGGCATCGTCTAACCCAGCACTATTACGCTATTTTATAAATACATTCGTCAGATCTGGAATCTTTAATCTTTAATTTTTAATCCCCGCACACAGTAAACAAACACACATTCATGAACACGTATAAAAAATAAGTGGCCTCTTGTTACGGATCAAATTGAAGTCTTGTTACAATTCGATCAATTGATAAAAGTGCGTATCGCAATGCGTTGGCCACCCCTGCCCTATATGCTATTTAATAAATACATTCGTCAGACCTGGAATCTTTAATGCCCGCACACAGTAAACAAACACACATTTTTAAACACGTATAAGAAAAAATAAGTGTTGTCTTGTTACGGATCAAATCGAAGTCCTGTTACAAATCAATTAATTGATAAAAGCAAGTATCGCAAGGCATCGTCTAACCCAGCACTATTACGCTATTTTATAAATACATTCGTCAGATCTGGAATCTTTAATCTTTAATTTTTAATCCCCGCACACAGTAAACAAACACACATTCATGAACACGTATAAAAAAATAAGTGGTCTCTTGTTACGGATCAAATTGAAGTCTTGTTACAATTCGATCAATTGATAAAAGTGCGTATCGCAATGCGTTGGCCACCCCTGCCCTATATGCTATTTAATAAATACATTCGTCAGAGCTGGAATCTTTAATGCCCGCACACAGTAAACAAACACACATTTTTGAACACGTATAAGAAAAAATAAGTGTTGTCTTGTTACGGATCAAATCGAAGTCCTGTTACAATTCAATTAATTGATAAAAGCGCGTATCGCAAGGCATTGGCTAACCCAGCACTATTACGCTATTTTATAAATACATTCGTCAGATCTGGAATCTTTAATCTTTAATTTTTAATCCCCGCACACAGTAAACAAACACACATTCATGAACACGTATAAAAAATAAGTGGCCTCTTGTTACGGATCAAATTGAAGTCTTGTTACAATTCGATCAATTGATAAAAGTGCGTATCGCAATGCGTTGGCCACCCCTGCCCTATATGCTATTTAATAAATACATTCGTCAGACCTGGAATCTTTAATGCCCGCACACAGTAAACAAACACACATTTTTAAACACGTATAAGAAAAAATAAGTGTTGTCTTGTTACGGATCAAATCGAAGTCCTGTTACAAATCAATTAATTGATAAAAGCAAGTATCGCAAGGCATCGGCTAACCCAGCACTATTACGCTATTTTATAAATACATTCGTCAGATCTGGAATCTTTAATCTTTAATTTTTAATCCCCGCACACAGTAAACAAACACACATTCATGAACACGTATAAAAAATAAGTGGCCTCTTGTTACGGATCAAATTGAAGTCTTGTTACAATTCGATCAATTGATAATAGTGCGCATTGCAATGCATTGGCTAACTCAGCATTATACGCTATTTAATAATACATTCGTCAGATTTGGAATCTTAAATTATAATCATAATTATATGTGCCGCGCGTGGGAAGTGAAAGTGAAAGGAATTGAAAATGCTTTCAAAAACAAAAACATAATTAAAGTAGGACTACATGTGCTTATAAAGGCTCAAAAAGGTGTATGGATGCAGAAATTAATGTTTCGGATGAAAATAATACGCTATCTTCACTACTGTAGCATGCGGTCAAAAATTTGATGCGCAACTTATTATCAAATATCTAGGCTACTGAACTATCAAACACCTAGATCTAGATTCTCCTACTTTTACACAATGACTTAGATCTATATCAATTCGTCTTAACCGATGAGTATTTTTTTCAAACATTTGTACACATCTATAGGTTCTATATTATTCTAGAAATTTCTTTAAAGAAAATTCTTTAATAAATACTAGCCCAATATATAAAAAAAAAATCCCAGTCAATGGTTTCTACAGATTTTTAAAAAGTTTATAGCTGGAGCTAAATCTCTTTTAAAAGCAAGTCCGTCCTTTTTTCTACTTCTGCTGGCGACATAAAGTTAATTATTGAACGCATGTTTTGAGAACATTAATAAGATCTAGTGAAAAAATATGTTCAGTGTAAAACAAATTTATTGTAATAAGTTTTACTACTAAAAAACTACATAGGCCATATGCGTATGCAAAATGTGTGTGGGAAGCTAGAAGTGCTATGAATTTTTTTCAGTTCTGTAGATCTTATATATATCTATATAAACTCTGTATGTCTGCTTTTTCTGTTGTTGCACTCCAAAACACAACAATTTAAAACTTTAATTCCAATCTCTAGTTACACAGTGAATTCTGTAACTCAAAATTACAAACTGGACAGTAAATGTTCCACTTTTCACTCGTTTGTAAAAGCCGCTCTTGCTTTAAAAGCTATAGGGTTACTTCCGAAAACGATAAATAGTGCCCTCACGACGCCATTGTTTTCGGTCTTCAATTCCTCACAGGTCACGTGGTACAGTTCCCATTCTATAAGTGTAGAATTCTGTGTTTCAAACTAAAGACTTTAACTTTAGTTCAGTAGTGGACTCTTGAGGCTTGAGGATCCAAGCTAGTGGTTTTTACTAGGATGTCAATAAAATACTAAAAGATCTAGACCTATACAGACATAGATCTATATCATGATGTATTGGAGACAATAGACTACCTGGCTCGTCTCGACTGATCAGGTGAGAATCTCCAAATCCAACAAGAGACAGAGAGCCTGACCCAGTCCAGTCGCAATTATTTACACCTTGACCTGAAAATGTTTCGCGAGCCTGATTGAAGACTAGATCTAGATCTAGATTCTAGATCTAGAATCTAGATATCTAGATACGCCATGGCGGACTAAAAATGTGAAAGGTTATCATATCTATCGTCCATGAGGCTGGCAAACTACGACTGTAAATTGACCAGCACAGTGTAAATTGACCAGAACAAGCAGAAGTGTACCCTCTTCAGATCCTGTTCCAGAGATTGTTGACAAACAAACAACTTCCGCCTCCGGCAGCAGGCCATAGTAGTCCCACAATGCGTCATAAACAAGGGAGGTTAGGCCTAATGAGACAACGGTAGTTTCAAGATCGGAGCTCTTCCTCCTGTCTGGACTGCCCCGGATTACTCCAGATTTTAAAGAATTAATTAATGTACCCTAGTACATTGTATTTTATTTATAATTATACATGTTTATGTTCTAGTAGTATAGACCAACTGAGAAAGACTCTAAACGATCTGACGGTCCCCAACAACCAAAGAGCACAATTATCATAATTATAGGCTCAAACTAGACGAGACGCTTTTTGTTTTTTTATGGTCTTACAGAACCTAGAATCTTACATAATCTTGCAATCAATCAAGAAGTTTCAGTTTTGGAAAAGAGTGTAATGTTTATTTATGAAAAGATCCACCTACTGATCTGACCCAGTATTTAATACAGATAAAAAACAATTGCTTAATGATGAAAGGCCTCGCCCGCTTTTTAGACAGGTGGCTAATACTAATGCAAACGCGCAAATTTGCAAGTTCAGTATACTTGCTTACTAAAAACTTGCGCAATTTAGAGGTCTCTAAACTGTAGGCCTAGGCTAGGCTAAACCTTCGACTAGATCTACACTTTTAGATGTCGTGTGATCGTAAGTTGAAATAGCCGAAGGAAGGAAAAGATAACAAGGCTTATTACAAAATAAGAGTATGTTTAGTAGCCTTTGTCTCCCTTTGGTCATTCTTCGGAAGCAAAGGTTTTTTTTGCCCCTGGGTAAAGTGATTAAAGCAGGCGGACACTGTAAATTGGTCTTGATTTTTCTAGATAATCTGTTATTTAAAGAACCGTTTAGGTTTTTTTTTATAGGCTTACTCACACTCACACACACACACACACACACACACACACACACACT